GTTTTGAAAACTGTATAGGAAAAAAGAATAAAATTTGATAAGAGTAACCTACCGCCTTTTTAACTTTCATTCTACTATTGGTTGTTGTTGTTGGAACATTGTATATCTGTATCCCAATTGTTACAAATGAATTTTTTATGGTTCTGTTATTTTAAACATCAGATAGAGCTTTCAAAGTCTTAAGTACCTTTAAAACTCACAAAAGTTATTAGAATTGTACTTGTTTATATTATGTGATTCTCTTATAATGCTCTACGCTTGGGGATTGATTAAGTTGGTACACAGACTCTAAGTATTTGAAATTTAAAATGGGTGTCTATTTTTCCAGGCTGAGCTTCTCCTACAGTATCAACAATGGTGTTTAGGTAATGTGTGATGCTTCTGCTCTGCTATCATGGGATTTTTTGTGAAGTGTGTTTGCGCTCGTGTGTGTGCGTGATACCTGTTTGTTCTCACTGCATATGAAAGCCAGAGGATGGCATTGGCGTGTTCGTATTCTTCCTCTATCATTGTCTCCCTCATTGCCTTGAAACAGGTTTTTTCACTGAACTGGAAGCTCGTCGTTTTGGCTGGGCTGACTGGCCAGCAAGCATGAAGGATCTGTCCTTCTCCATCCTCCAATGGCACAGTTACAGGCGCACGAATCCATGGCTGGCTTTTTAGGTGGCTTCTGGGGACTTGGACACAGGTCCTCATGCTTGCACAATAGCCACCTCTGCTTTCTCTGTGGCCCTCTCCTGTTACACCATACCTGAAAATGGTATACTTTTCACATTTAAGTAATATTGACACATCATTACTAGCTAAAGCCTGGAGTTTCATTAATACTTTATTCATACTTTCTTTGTAATTAATTTCCTTTGTCGCTCTAGGGGCCCATACAAGATGCCAAATTGCACTTAGTTGCCACATCTCTAAGCATCTCTTAGTTGTGAGCATTTCTCCAGCTTCCTTGTTTTGGGTAGCATGACCCTTTAGAGATGCACTATATAGGTATTTGTGACAATGTTTTTCACGACTCATATGATGTTTTCCTCAGGATCATGGGGTAATGAGTTTTGAAGAGGGAGGTTGTTATAGGCGTTTTAAAGACTAGAGGTTGTGATGTTCCGGTGGAAAGCCAGTCATCCCCTGGCGTGAAGAAAAGCTGATTGGCTTGAGGCAGCCTGGTCCACAGTGAGCATCTCTCCACTGGAAAGACACTTCAACTACAGAACCTTCCAGCGGCATCTGGTGTGCCGATAACTGATGCCAACGTGCCGGCGGTCACAAGTCTGTGCGCTCTCTGAAGATTTTCAACACTCTCCTGTAAGTTTTCTGTAGGAAAAAATGCTCCCAGCTTCTACTGGAAGTGAATGTGAAACAACGTTCACTTTGCAGAAACTGCCTGAGGGTCAATGTTACTGAGCTACAGTAGAAATGTGCCACTCCCATGGTGTCTTTGATACAGAGGTCTGAATAAGATGTGGGATTTATGGTGTGGCAAACACTCCTTTCTGAGAAAAGTCACCTCAGTGGTTCTGTCCCACAGCTGCCACCGAGTCTATTAAGACACAGGGTGGGCAACAGCACTGCTCTAAGATCAAGAATTAATAAATGGGACCTCAGGAAAACTGAAAAGCTACTGTAAAGCAAAGGACGCTGTCAACAGAGCAAAATGCCAGCCCACAGATTGGGAAAAGATCTTCACCAACCTGACATCTGACATTTGGGCTAATATCCAAAATATAGAAAAAACTCAGGAAATTAAACACCAACAAACCAAATAATCCAATTAAAAATGGGGTAGAGAGCTAAAGAGAGAATTCTCAATAGAGGAATATCGAATGACAGAGAAGCACTTAAAGAAATGCCCAACATCCTTAGTCATCAGGGAAATGCAAATAAAAACAACTCTGAGATTCCATCTTACACCCACCAGAATGGCTAAGATCAAAAATTCAAGTGACAGCACATGCTGGTGAGGATGTGGAGAAAAGGAAACCCTCTTCTATTGCTGGTGGGAGTGCAAACTTATGCAATCCCTTTGGAAATCAGTCTGGCAGTTTCTCAGAAAGTTGGGAATAGCTCTACCCAAGACCCAGCTATACCACTCCTGGGCATATAGCTAAGAGATGCCTCACCACACAACAAGGACATTTGCTCAAGTATGTTCATAGCAGCTTTATTCTTAATAGCTAGAAACTGGAAACAACCCAGATGTCCCTCAACCATGTCCCTCAACCAAGAATGTAAATGTGGTACATTTACACAATGGAATATTACTCAACCATAAAGAACTCAGAAATCATGAAATTTTCAGGCAAATGGATGGAACCAGAAAAGATCAGCCTGAGTGTGGTAATCCAGACCCAGAAAGACACACAGGGTATGCGCTCGCTTAAAGTGTGTATTAGCCATATAGTACAAGATAGCCATACTACAATTCACAGACCCAAAGAAGCTAAGAAACTAGAAGGACACCCAAATTTTACTCAAATGGGGAAATGGAATAGTCAGTAGAGGTGGTTGAAGGGAGGGAACAGGATAAGAGAGGGTACACTGGGGGAAATGAGGGTGGGCAGCAGATATAAGGTGAGAGGCCAGAGCTTGGAGAGAAAGAAACAACCATGGGCAGAGACGCCTCTTAGACAAGCTGGAGACCTGCAACAGGCTGGGCCCCTGGGACAATATGGAGGTGGCTCTAGCTTAAACCTCTGGTGGAGACCAGAGAGGTCACCCTCTAACCAGACAGGGCTCCTGGGAGAGGAAGGGGAACATCAACCCACCTACAAAACCTTCCATTCAGAAATTACCCTACCTTGAATATATGCAGGGTTTAAGACAGAGCAGAGATGGAGGAAATGTGCAACCAATGCCTGGCCTGACCGAGACCTACTCCATGGCAGAGAGCCAACACTTCTGATGATGCTTCACTGGGCTTGCAGATGGGAGCCTAGCATGCTGTCCTCTAAGAGGCTCCGCCCAGCAACAGATCAGAACCGAGACTCACAGCCAAACACTGGGCAGAGCATAGGGAGACTTGTAGAAGAGAAGGGAAAAGGAGAGAACCGCTGGGAAGGGACAGGAGCTCCACAAGAAGACCAACAGTCCCAACTAACCTGGGCTCAGAGAGGCTTGCTGAGACTGAAGCACCAGCCAAGGACCATGCATGGACTACCCCTCAACCCTCTACACAGATATACCCAATGGATAGCTTAGCCTAGCCTCCATGTGGGTCCCCCAGAAAGGGGATGGGGGCTGTCTCTGACATGGTCTCTGTGGTATGCCTTTCGATCACTTCACCCTAGCCTGGCAGTCAGAGTACACAGTCCTGATGAGACTAGATGTGCTGGGACAGATTTGCAGATTGTGGGGAGGGGGTCCTCCCTTTTTCTGAGGGGGAGGGGAGGGGATATTGGAGGATGATGAAAGAACAGAGGAGAGGGACAAGGAGGAGAGGAGGAAGGGGGCTACGATGGATATGTAAGGTGAATAACTAACTACAAAAACAAACAAGCAAAAAAGACATGGGGTGGACTCCAGTACCTGTCACCAAGCTGTGTCGGGGCAAGCTGATGTCGCAGCACAGGAGAAGCAGCCTTGAATGTGAATATAAGGAGCTGGGGGATCACGAAATGTTCCCAATGCTCCCAAGGATTAGCTGTCTTCTCCAGAGTTGCACTATGCCAGCTAGTAAGGGAGAAATGATTTCCAAACTGCACAAAAGAAAATTAAGCCTGATGTAATACACCTGCGAATGTTCTGTATGCAGTTCGGGCTCTAGTTGAGGAAAAGAACTTATTATCTGTGTGTTCAGCTACTCACCATAATCTGTCCATTGTGATCTGTCCATCCTGCTCAAGGGCTTCAGGAATAGCCAGTATTTACTGAGGAACCTATCTGTACTGTATCTACTTCATCTTAATTAAGCCTTTCTTACATCCCGACTCGCCTGCTCCTCAAATGACTCCAGGAAGCCAAAGATGATGCTTAGGGAGACATGGATCAAGCCAGGATTTGGACTCCAGGGAGAGCCAGTCCTCAGCAGAGTCTCAGCTAACCAATCGCTACTGCAAACTCCTTTTGTGTTAAGAAGTTTACGTCAAAATGCCTCTGTGAGATCAAGTACCCTGTCTTTGCTAGACTGTCAAGGTCACAGCATGAATGTCTACCCACATGCCACGCCGTTCATAGTATCTCAAAGGAAATCATTATTACTACTGATTACCACTGTGAAGATTAAAAAAAAAAAAATCAAATAGCCTCGTTCTCACTGACCCACTGACTGTAGTGATGTAAAGAGAGGCCAGACATTCTGCAGGCCTGTGCTATAGGACTGTGGTTGTGTGGCTTGGCACTCTGCAGAGAGGAAATTGGTCAGAAGGTAGTTGCCAACGAGGATGGCTTTTCATTCACAGTTCTCAAGGCAAGAAGCCATGCCACCCTGTGCGAAGTCCCGCTGGAGACACTGGGCAGACAGAGGGAGTGGAGGCACTGCAGGCAGCAGCCTTCCCCCTGCCCCCGAGGGTATGCTCCACAGGGCAAAACGAGGCTCCAGAAGTAGGGGCTTCTGCCATCCTCACACAGAATATCCCCCAACCCCAATATCCATGAAGCATGGCAAAGGACTTCATTATCAGGCCATATTTATACTCTACTGTTTACATGTGTGTGTATATGCACACAGTGTGCATATATAATATATATTATATATAACATATTATATTTATAACACACTTGCATGCACACAATAGTTTGCTTAAACTCAAGTTCAGCATCATGCAGCATTCACCCTCTCCCACAGCTCCACCCCTCCCCGACCTTGTCACAAATTCTCTGTCTTTAGTGAGTCCAAGTTAACGTGGCCTTTTTTCTCAAAAGCCTAGGAAATGCAACAAGCCAGCGTAAAACCAGACAGGAGTAGTTTGCTCTTACAGCTTCTTCCAGATGAGAAGCTGTGTTTTCAGAGCCAACAGAGAAATGTTTCCTTCACAGTCATGACAAAATCAAACACCGTATTTTCTCAAGCTCCAGCAAACACTTTATTCTCCTCATGAAGTCTCAAAACTGTTGGAAGCCAAACTTGAAAGGGTCCTTCAGCAAAAATATGAGTGCTTTACAGAAAGGTAAAAGAGGTTGGGAGAGGAAACACCAGTTTCTGCTAACTGTATTCCTGAGTGCTTTTCTTTGTTAAAGTCCTCAAACTTGAATAAATTAGTTACAACGCCGATAGAAATAAAAGAAATAATCTGTGAAGAAAATCCCAGCAAAAAAAGGATCCGTCGAACAGTCTGCTAAATCCTATGGGAACAGGAAAAGAGAAGGATGAATGTAAAAGTTAACTACTGTTAGGGTTTCTTTGATTTATTGAATGTTTAATTTCTTACTAAAAATGAAAAGGGGGAAGAAACGCATGCATCTTACTGGTGCGGCTACTCGGAAATGATATGCACTGTCAGAGAACGGGGCCACAGGGAGGCTCCAAATGTGCTGATATCCCTAAGGAAGGAAGGAGAGACACCCATCTTACACCACATGCCATGCTCAGCTGGAAGGCAGGCAGGCTAGGGCGGCATGCCTTCGACAACTGTGGGAGAGGCTCTATGATAACACTTTTTTATATATGGTGCTAGAACAGTCTGCAGTCTCTTAAGGATGCAGGGAAGATGAGGAGCCACACAGGATGGCCAGGGTCAGCTAACAAGGGGCACTGGCCCTTGGTTCTAGGCATGCTTCCCTCAATGGCAAGCAGAGGCCACAATCCTAAATAACTTCTGCTGGAACCAGGACAAGATATTAAAGAGCCACAACACATTACCTGTGTCATCTGAGCATCTTCTCTGTGGTTTTGGGTTCGTTCCCGTTGACTGTGGAAACATATATTCCCAAGGGAGTATTTGCACTGGAAGATTATCAGCGGCTCTGTTGTGCTTCAAGAGATGAGGAAAGAGGGCAAAAGTAGTCAGTAGAGTCTACTAGACTACCTTGTGATAAAAAGATGAACTGATGGGCATGCAACTAACCCTCCCTGGGGCCATGTCTTAGTCAAGGTTACTAGTGCTAAGATGGAACTCCAAAAGCAACTTGGGGAGGAAAGGGTTTGTTTGGTTTATGATCCCACTCTACTCTTCATCACTGAAGGAAGTGAGGACAGGAACTCAGACAGGGCAGGAACCTGGAAGTAGGAGCTGATGCAGAAGCCATAAAGGGATGCTGCTTACTGGCTTGCTCCCCACAGCTTGCTCAGCCTACTTTATAGAGAGAGAGAGAAAACCCAAGACCACCAGTTCAGGAATGGCACCACCCACAATGGGCTGGGCCCTCGCCCTTTAATCACTAAGTAAGAAAATGCCCTACAGGCTTGCCTACTAAGAAAATGCCCTACAGGCTTGCCTACTGCCCCGTCTTATGGAGGCATTTTTTCTCAATTGAGGTTCCCTCCTCAGATTACTGTGGCTTATGTTGACTTGACATAAAACTAGCCAGCACAGCCTAAAACAGGCATTTTGTTACGTAATCCTCAGTGACACCAAGAGGCTCACTCTCATCTCACTGCAGTAGAAGGAAGCTGACCCTCAGGCGACTAACATGCCATAGGGCCATAAGCCTAGAATCAGGACTCCAATCCCTACATCAAAGCATCTCATCTCCACGAGCTGTCATTGCTTTCGGATCTGCCTCTTCTGTTTTCACCAGCAGCTGAATTTACATTTAGCTGAAGCCTTGACTTCAGGTGACTGCTGTGTCCTAGTTTGGGTTGACGGTGTTTGAAATGGCCTGGCAAGCACACATCAGCCATGACTTGAGAGGGAGAGAGATCGGTAGGGGTGGGAAGGAGCGAAGAGGGCGCAGCAGTACAGGAGAGCCAGAACGGGTTGGAACCATGCTTGAAATCGTCAAAGAATTATACTTCTTAAAATAAAGACATTACCAGCTCTTAGGGTTTGAGGGCAGAAGACCTATAAGAAAGGGTAGCTCTGCCATGAGGGTTGGTTTGTTAATCATCCCTAAGAGGATGAAATTCATCCGTGTGTGTGTGTGTGTGTGTGTGTGTGTGTACAAATAAGAAAAACCTACACTCTCAGTTAAGTAGTTCTCTCATCCTCTCATACTCAGGGCATCTTCTCAAATACGCCCAGGAGATGCCTGAAACTGCAGATAGCACCAACCCTTGTGTCTACTATCTGTTCTTACATACATACATCCCTATGGGAAAGAATAATTTTTAAATTAAGTACAGCAAGAGAGTAACACTAAAAATAAAATAGCAGTAGCTATAACAATGTATTGTTTACAAATTATTTAAAATGTAAGAATTGTCTATTTCTAGAAACCTCCATTCAGTATTTTTGGACCAGGGTTGACCATGGGTAAGTGAAAGTCATGGCTAAGTGGGGACTGGTATTTGAAAACTGGCTCATAAGGTCAAAGTCTTGATTTCGTGGTTCAAGCTGATAGGACGCTTCAGGGGTTATAATTTATAATTTTATCTCTTTCCACTGAAAGCTAGGTATGCGAACAGAAATGCTGTTTCATGTTATCCAACAGCTGGGCTGTTGCACTGGCACACTTCCGTTCACTTGGTCTCGGGTGGTGGATTCTCAGTCATGAAACTAGCTACCTTTCTATAGCATACAGTGGAGCTGAGTGTCATTAGCTCCTTGATGAGCAAAGCTAAAAATGAAGGGATATGAAGCCCAGATGAGAGAGGAGATGAGGGTATGTGAATGATGGAGAAACATCAGAACCAGTGGAGCAGGGGGGAGCAGGGAGAAGTTAGAGGAAAGGGAAGAAAAAGGAAAAGAGTGAAAATAAGACTAGGATCGAGAAACTGGATAAAAACTCTTTTTTTAATTTTTATTTTATTTTTATTAATCACAGTTAAAGAACTCTTTCTTAAGAGAAGTTCCTTCTACAAGTTTGAGTGAAGTGGGTTGAAAGTTGTGATTATTTGAGGTGTGAGATGACAAGCCAGATACAGCGGTACCCACCTATGGCCCTGGCACTGGAAGTAGAAGCTGGAGGACTGTGAGCACCAGGCCACACTGAGCCACATTGTCCGAAGATACTCAAGAACCGGACATGTAGTTCAGGGGTAGAGCAATTGCCTAACGTGCTTGGGTTTGGTCCACACCACCACAAAAAGGAAGGAAGGGAGGAAGGGGGGAGGGCGGGAGGGGGGGAAGGGGGGGGGGGGGGGGGGGGAGGGAGGGAGGGAGGGAGGAAAAAAGAAATCTGAGCTACAGGGTGATTGAACTATAACTCACATTTATGATTTTAGAGGACGTGTAGCTATGAAACAAGACTCTATTTGCCGAGTCAGGAGGTGACTATTGTAGGTCAGGAAGTGACGCTGCCTTTACACACATCTTCTTATGAGATAGACAAGAGAACGGCCGAGAGTCATGCTTGAAGCACAGTCTCACCACTTACCAGCTGTGAATTCGGAACCTGTTGTTTATGTGTGTGGTATGTGTCCGTGTGTGTGCATGTGTGGAGGCCAGAGGTTGACATTGGCTGTCTTCCTCTATTGCTTTCCACCATAGTTTTTGCAACAGGGAACCCATTAGCCCACCCAAGGCTAGATTGGCTAGCCAGTGAGCCTTGAGAGGCCCCCTATCCCTACCTCCTCCATGATGGGGTTACAGACAAGCAGTACTGCACCCTGCTTTTTACGTGGGGTGTTGGGGATTGAACTTGAGTCCTTGTACTTCTGCAGCAAGCACTCTACCAACTAGGCTACCTCTCCAGCTCCAGAATGCATATTCGACTGTGCTCCCCAGTGCCCCACCTGTCAAGTATGAGCTGGGAAGAAACTCATTCTGGGAGGGCTGTGGTGAAGGACTGGATAGCCTGGTATTAACATGTGCCCTCTCTGACAGGTACTCTGTGCTCGGCAAATGGCAGTTACTAATGCCATCAGTGTCAACAATTCTCATTACGGCTCTACATGCCATGGTCTTAGCTGATATCCACTTTACAGGTAGACACGTGGTAGCCTGGGAACAGTACCTGCTTCTCCCAAGGTCACCAAATGAGGAGGTAACACAGAATCCGACTCACGGTTTGCTCAATTCAAAACTCAGGCTCGTTTTTTTTTTTTTTTTTATCCTAACGCAAACGCATACCACCTATATTGTATTCCCAGCAGGAAGTCACCAAAATGTCCAGCTCCCATCCAGGGGCCATGTTATCATTGGCATTCTTATCCCAGTTCAAAGCAGACAGTCAAGGGAACCCTGTGGCCTGTGAATATCAAACTTTCTGCAGGCACGAATATGGCTTCCAGCGCCCCATTCCCTAGAGGAGCTTGGATGAGCCGGTCCTCCACACCCTTTATCAGCTAACACAGGCTGATAGCATTCCACCTCCTAACTTGCTAACCTAGGATAGCAGTTCAGACTTACTGTTCAGTGAATGAGAAAGCACCATTGTTTCTTACAGCCACAGACTTACTTGATTTCCAGAGAGAATTTGACGTTGGTAGGTGTGTTCTTATTAACAGGGATATTATAATTATAATTTCCAGGCCTAATTTTAGAAGAAAATAAAATCACAAGTCAGAATATGCCCCAAAAATCTTCAAAGGAATTTTGACATTTACTACACACTATGTAAACTACAAAATATCCCATGATACATTTAGAAAGTTGAGTTTAATCTGCTCCTGTTTCTATAGATTTCACAGATAAACTTATCTAATGTCTGCATGAACTTGTTTGTGCCTTGATATAAAATACAGAAAGAACACATACACAAAACCAAAGGAAATTACTTTGGTCACCAATAAACAAATTTCAGGAGAAAAATGAAGTAAGCTCAAAATCTCCCTGAAAAGGAAACATGAGCTAAAAGCAGCACAAACCACTCTCCCTTTTAAAACAATTTTATAAGGAAATGTGTATATTTAGGAGCAAAATCAGCTACAATTATGAAAGCCCTGATTACCGTGTAGTGATGGGGGAAATTGTAAGGTAGATTTGCTTATCCCTGGGTCTACCTACCAAATGAGAGATGCTTAGAGGACGGGGCTGTTCACTGATTCCTACGTAATGAAAAACTCCAAAGAATGGCAGGTATGTGTTTAATCAAGCATTCCTTGTGATTAGCCATCCCATGGATGGCATGGAAATCAATACAAATCAGACAAGGAGGGAGAGAGTCAGCCATTTCATATCCTCCTTAAATAATCCTAAACTAATTGCCAAAACATGAAAGGAAAAACACGGAGTTGAAAAGGCCAGCAGCTTACAATATTTAAGAACATAAACATCACATGGAAAGCCTTGGATATATACAATTTTACTCATCACTATAAGTATTATCACTATTTAAAAATTAAAATTAATGAGTTACATACCAAGATATTAAAAATCACATTACATTGTGTCCCAGGAATATATTTAATTTTTTACTTATCAATTATCTGTCAAAAAGCTAAAAAAAACACATTATCTGTACACACACACACACACACACACACACACACACACAAAATCTGCCTATAGCTCAGCTGCGAAGCTTAAGCACAGAGAATTCCTTTCCTGTTATACACCTTCCCATATCTGCTGCTTCAGCACCCCCACTCATCTGGTAATAGCCCTATTTTATAAGAGAAAAATGAATGTGTGAAAACAAACATTTTGCTTGGATCATCTGATTCACCTTCATGAGGTCATTCTACCATATTAACTATGGATGCTTACTAACGGTGTGATCTAAAGGAAATCTGTTCAGCTCACAGAAAACTTCGAAATAGAGATAAATAGCATCAACCTCTTGGAGCTAATGTGAGAGTTCAATGGGATGATAAATATAGATATCATAAAGGAATTTTTAAATACATGTTTTTGTTTTTTTTTTTTTTTTATAACTCAGGACCATCAACTTGAAGCCTAATCTACTGGGCTGAAAAAGAACTAAGGCTGAAAACCCACAACCGAAAGCAAGGTCTCACCACTAGGCACCCAACAGATTAAGTATTAAATTAAGAAATGAGCCCCACTCTGAATGTCTACAGTTTGCATTTGCGCTTGCTGCAGCCACTTGCGTTCCACACACTTGCGTGTCTAGATGTGTCTCTGCTTTGTGTGTGTGTGTGTGTGTGTGTGTGTGTGTGTGTGTGTGTGTGTGTGGAGGGGTGATACACCCTGGGAAAGTATCTAAAGTATCTGGGCGGTTGTTCGCCTCCTAGGATAAAAGATACACTAAACTGAGCTAGAGAGCCACATCAATTATAACACTACCCTTTGTTGTTACTCAAATGTCAGCTCACTCGTGTCGACCTCGTATTTAACCAGCCACCCTGGACATTGGTGTGTGGCCCCCAGGGGCAGTCTGTTCCCCAGGATTTTGCTTTGGATCTAAGCCATTAAAGGAGGAGATCTGGATGACGGGGGTTTATTGATCATGTGGTTTATCGATAGGTGCTCACACCAACCATTTCTGACTTCCTCATCTTCCATGTGCCTTTACTTAGCGAACAATACAAACGCACATGGACTTCAACGTCAAGCTTTGGTTTTCATTCCACTCTCAAAACTATAACACTGACTAAATTCCAGAAGCGGCCGGGGCATCATGGGAAGCTTACCCACCCGCAGTGAAGCATCCGGCTGCAATAGCGACGGTCTATCGCTTGCTGGATTTCCATAATCTGAATAGAAGTGATGGTTGTATCAATCCCTGGATCAAAGAGAAATAGAGAGAAAAGGAAATAAACTCCTGTGCAGGGTGGAGAGTCCTGTGTTCCTGCTCACTTTCCAAACTGCAGAGTATAAGCTAAGAGAGTCCCAGACAAAACTATCCTGTCCATATCCAAATGAGAAATGGAAGAAAAAAGACTGGAAAAGGCTTTTGCGTTTGTTGGGGGGGGGGGGATGAGTAATTATAGCAAATTTTACGAGATTGTTAATGAAAACCCAGGCTCCTGGAAACAGCCTGCTCCACATCCAAAACAACTTCTGGACCATAGAGGTCCTGACAAATTTACTGGAACTTAGTAGAGATGGGAGGTGTGATGGGACATGCAATCTGCTTCAGGGAAGAAAAAAAAATCTGAAAATACAGTCAGAACAAATGAGAAATGCAGGAACTTCAAAGACATTATCAAAATCATGGAGCTCAGCCACAGCTTATCTGGTGGCAGGTGACCATCCTGAAAGCCTCATTAATGTTCAAGCTGACGTGGATTATAGAACATGGCCACAGAGGTGTCCACACTGTGTGCGTGTGTGTGTGTGTGTGTGTGTGTGTCTGTCTGTCTGTGTGGTGGTAGTGGCTGGGTGTGGCAGGTAAGGCGGCTGTCTCTTCATTTTAGTTTCTCACCCCAGTAATGTTCTTAAGGCTATGGTGCTGCTTAGTCCCTTGGGGGGGGGGGGGCAGGGGCAAACAGAGTGTCACTTAAATGTCAACTTACAGTCACTCTCCCAGTCACGACTGATAAGCGCATTTCTTGTCAGGAATGATTTGCTCCTGTCTTCTGAAGAGTGAAAACATCTGTCAGTCATGAAGGCTTGCTCAGGATGATAGAAAAGCTGACTGATCTGTTGGATGGATACATCCCGCCCTTTCCCTCTCCTGTCTTCACACTTACCCACACCTCTCCCATTTCTTCCAGACGTACTTTATTCTCACCCTCACCCAAAAACCCATCTGTCATGGGTAAGTGGCACACGCCCTATCCGCTGCTGAACCCCAGCACTTCCTTCCTCAGAATGCTGCTGTGTTTGGAGATTCGACCTTTAAAGAGGGGATTAAGAGGAGGTGAGGCAGTTGAGGCAGCTCTAGTCCAATCTGACAAGCTGTCCGTATCAGAGCAGGAGATTACAGGGACACTGGGGGTGCCTTTGTGCACATATGGAGGCACGAAGAAAAGACCACTCAAGGACCTAGCAAGAAGGTGGCCTTCTGCAGGCAAAGGGAGGACCTCCAAAGAAGCCAGCTTTGTTGACACCAAGATCTTGGCCCTCTAGCCTCCAAAACTGTCAAGAAACAAATGTCTGTGGTTTACACCCTGGCAGGGGTCTTCTGTCATGGCAGCCTGAGCAGACTGCACCATCATCCCAGAAGGCCCTACAGCTCACAGCTGCCTCCTTCCCTGTACTGCAGCAATGTGCTTGCAAGCCAGTGATATGCATCTGCCCCCGTGCCCAAGGCGTATTACGTCTGTGTTATCCCTTAACTCCAAATGTGCTCTTATTCCTTCTTGACCATTCCAGAATAAGAAACCTCTATTATTCTCTTGACCCTCTATAACCAACCCCCCGGGATAGTCTGGGTCATATCAAGGAAGCATTATTCTCTGCTTAATGAGGTGCTAGTGGCAGTTTTATTTCTCGTCTAGATTCTGAATCAAAAATAATGCTTATCAAAGGCATCAGACATATGCACCTCAGGTCACTCTCAGCATTGCCTATGCAATGTTTGAACAAGGGAAATAAGTCACTAGAGGCCGTCTGTGTGAATACACCTAGTGACGAAGACTCAGAACTCCAGGGACAGGCAGCTCCTCTGCAGCGCAGTCTTATAAGCCCTTTCATTGGAGTTACCATCGATCTTCCTGTTCATCTATTCTGATGCCAATTCTACTTGGTTGAGAATAGACCCTAAAGGCAACAGCTGTGCCCAACCCAAGCCTGGCTCATATGTGGCTGCTGAGGATCACATTTCCTTCATTTCTTTTGGTGAAAATAAAAATCATTACAAAGTGACATCCATAAGCCAGGAGTGAGGATGGAACAATGCAAGCTGGAATCTGATTTCTGCCCTGTCCTGGAAACTCAGAGGAGAGTTAGGCGATGAAGTTAGGAAATAACCTGTTGAGAATTCAGTCCAGTTATCACTAGGGTATGGAGTCAAGGTTGCATTTGTTCCCATTGGCGTTTTCTACCCTGCCTATTCCATGGCCTCTCTCCTACATAATAGATCATATTAAGTTGGATGGTTCAAAGTCCATGGTTAGACTGAGTAAAACTGAAGAAAAATAAATAAAAATAAGCTGTCTCTACTGTAAAAGGATGAATATTAACCATCATACAAACAGCACTGGAGGTGCTTGAAGATTCAGGACTGTAAAATTGATTGGGTGCTCCTTCCTGGTTATTTAATAACTTGGATATTTTCATATTAGGGAATATCCTCTAATATGTATTTACAGTGAAGGATAATAATGACAACTACACCAACTCTTCAATGACATTTTCTATTAGATGTTGTTCTGAGCTCCTCATGACAGCTTAAAAGGATGGCTGTTCCAATTTGACAGATGAAGTCAAGGATAAGGAATAGAGAATAAGGGATAAGACAGACCAGTACAGGGACTAAAAGGGACGGAGAAGGGCTTACATTCCGAACTGTCTGGTTCTGCGCAGCCCCATTCCGCCATTCTAGAATTACTCGAAACAAGATCTAGGCAGAAAAGAAGTGAGTCTGGAATGCAAGGGGAGGACCCAGCCAGCTGAAGTCAGGAATCAGATCGCTGGCGTGGGAACAGAGCCAGGACAGTCACTCTGCCTGCAGTGGAAAATGACATCTCCAAAGCTATTTTGAAGAGGTGACCGTTCAGGTGTCAGGATGAATCTTTTAATTTCTTATTATTTAAAACGCTTTAGGTTATAAATTTATGTGGATGAGGTTTTGCCTGCACGTCTGTATGCGCACCGGGTGCATGCCCATACCTAAAGAGGTCAGAAGGCATTTGCTCCCTGGAATTGGAGTTCCACGTGGTTATATGTCAACATCTGGGTGCTCCAAACTGAACCCGGGTCCTCAGGAAGTGCAACAAGTACTCTTAACCTCTGAGCCATTCTCCAGCCCCAAAGCATTTTTTTTTTAAAATTAGCTGTTGAGAGCAATCACCTCACAGTGTCACAGCTAACCTTGGTTGTCAACGCAGTTTAGTCGAGAAATGAGTCAGCCATGGTTTCTTAAACAGTGGCCTCATGGGATCACATAAGTAAATGTGACCATTGTAAACTATCTGACAGGAGCAAAAGACCTGTGAGTGTACAACAGCCAAAACTTAATTCAAAATGACGCACTTAGTGAATTCTGGGTGTTTCAGGCAGCGCTTGGTGGTGCTTCAGCACGCCACCCCCGTGTAGCCGTGCTTGCGAACACCCCACATGCACTCAGTCATCACGCCACCCAACACCCAACTGAGATGGCCACGGTCTCCTCAGCTCACACTCAAGACTACGGCACCCTCACATGCTTTCACTTGACTACAAAGCATCCCGCTCTTACACAAACATATCACTCAATAAGAGCAAGCAAAGACTCAGTAGTTTCCTACCATTGTTCCCCGGCCTGAACATACCAAGTTAGTGTATCTTCGAGGTGGAATTGTGTTAGGATGTTTGACTTTAAAGATTGTTATTTGGGTTGCTGGCTTGAGTTTCATAGAAAGTCATTAAGTGAATGCTGGCTTGGGGTTAGGAAAGAATTTCCAACACTTTCTAAACTGTCCTTAGACATATGTCTGCGGTTATGCACTGTATATGTACACAGAGACATTCTCAGCCCCAGTGATGAGAATATAAAGATGTTGACCAATTCCAAAAAAAATGAAGATGCTCTGGGTCCTTCAGTATCAATTCAGCCATGATTTAATTTTTTTTTCACATATTTCTTTCTTTTTTGATTTTTAGGTGTATGTGCTTGAGGGTATGTATGTACTATCCTGTGTGTGGAGTTACCACACACAGCAGGCCAGAAGAGGGTCATAAATCCCCTGGAACTAGAGTTAAAAGTAGCTATGAGCCATCTAATATTTTTAAAATAAATTTATGATTTATCGTAAGTATTATATGGATATCAAATAATTGTTTTAAAATGAATTTCTTTAAACACACACACACTACACATGAGTAAAGGTTTAGTTTTTATGCCTATTTTATATGCTTAATATAATTAGGGTCACTTGAAATTTCTCAGACAAGAATCCTGGGTAGAAAAGTTTAAGAAGCCGTAGCCTAGGTGATTGGTACAGTACACTTGTGTGTGTCAGTTGGGACACTTTAAAGATGGCTGATACGTGGGACAACACCTGACAGGGAAAGCCTGACCCTGAATGTAGACGGTACCATTCAATAAACAGGGAGCCAAGACGGAGAAAAGCAGGGGAGAGCATTCTAGAGCAAGCCCACTCTCTCCCTCTCCCATCTCCTGGCTGCTAAGAGGTAGATGGCCTCTCCTCAGCATATCCCTGCTGCCATGGTGATCTGGCCATCTTAGGCAGAGATTAATGAGGCCATTCAACCATAGACTGAATCCCCTAAATGCACGAGTCAAGTGTTTCCTTTATACATTGCTTTTCTCGAGTGTTTTCTCATGGTGATTCTTAAAAAATAACTATGACCAAGGCAACTCATAGAGGGATGGGTTGGTTTATTGATCCAGAAGCCACTTCCAATGACATGCCTCCTTCAACAGGACCACACCCACTAAGCCTTCCCAAACAGTGTCACCAGCTGGGGACAAGGTATTCAAACATCCAAGATTACAGAGAACATTTCCTTCAAACCACCACAGGGAATTGGTTTTGTTTTTAAGATTTATGTCTACATTCAAGTTTCTACGTTCAGTTTCAGTATAGGAAGCAGAAGCAATTGGGTATAATAATTGGAGAAAAATCTTTCTTGAAATCTCTCCCTTCTGCTGCTCTTTTTACACTAAGTGGAAAGGTTTGCTTACACACTGATCACCTAACTGTGGACACCTCGAAAATGAACTTGTCTTATGTTTATGGTTCAATGGATAGGCAATGCCAGTTCTCTGTGGTACTCTGCAAAGATCTGCAGAAGACTAGAAGGGAAAGAGGAAGGAAATTTAAAAAAAAAAAACAAAAACAAAAAATAAAAACAAATGTTTAACCTTTAAATATCTTCTCGATACTCAAAGGGAAAACTCCCAGGACAGGACATGAAAGATGCCGAGAACAGATTTGAGAGGCTACAGCTCTTCCCCATCTCAGCAAACAGGAATGAGAAAGGCTTTCGGGCAACAAAAGTGTCTGAACATATAGCCTAAAATAATGCATTCCCTTAGTGGATCTTGAGATATGAGGGATTTCTAGAGAACTGAATATTCATTTTTTTTCCTACATAAATAAAGCTTTCCCCAGGGTGTTAGTATTTTAGAATACAACCTGTTTCTGGGTTACCCAGCAACCTATGATGATGTCATCATGTGTCGCCAGCCAGCCAGGTGGCCACACCTGGAAGGCGTGGTTATTGTGCCCCCTTAAAGGGCTGATACCGACACGTGGTCTCTCCCTTACTTGCTCTCTTACTTTCCCCCTCACTTTCTCTTACACTCTTTCTCTCTCTCTCTCAGCGCCCCATCCCCCCTTTTTCCTCTCTCTCTCCCCACCATGTCCTGCTACCCCCTTCCTCCATACCTTCCTAATAAATCTCTCGCAGAGAATATCGGTTGACTCCTGCTTCTTCTTTTTGATTAATAACACAGATTTCTCAGATT